ACCGTTCGGGTGCAGATGCAGCTGCCGTCTGTCTCCTGGTGCCTTCCTCACTGAGGCCTAGGGAAGGACCACCAGTCCCAGGCTCCGTTTTATCATGACCCCTGTGGAGTCCTGCAGTCCCTCGAGGATGAGTTGAGGTGCAGCTCGCGCCTGCCTCAGGATCCCTCCCTGCCCACTCGCTGGATCAGTTGCCGGGCTGCGGGCAGGCAGTGAGGGCACAGGGCATTTCCGGTTCGTTTTGACTATGGACTCTGCCCCCAGGGTCTTTGCTCTTGACCGGTCCAGGCTCCCTGATCCCAAACCTGCACCTGATGCCTTTTTCCAGTTTCGCACAAACTTGGTGCTGTAGATGTTCCTTGGATTCTGGCTCCTCCTACTCCTCCCCCAACAGAGCAGATCTGGAAGTTCTGTGCAATTTCTAAAGAAGAATAGAACCGTTGTTACACTGGGGGAGCTTTTGTTACGCAAATTTCATTAAGAGACTGAGACTCTCACAGGTTTTTCAGAGTCCAACTAAATTTTCATTAGCCCCTCCACCCAGCCTCTGTGACCCATCCCTGGATGGCCTCTGTCTAGACTCATCCCGCCAGCCATGAGGAGTGACAGCACAGGCCGTCACAGGCCTGAGGGCTGTGGCACCGTCAGGGCCTGTGACCGTCTGTTTGACCTGGGGAAGGAGGGAGGGAAGGAGAGCGGGCAGTGGCCCACCCCCAGGCCAAGCTCCTTTTGTGCCAGGGAGGACCATCCGGCTGTCCTTGTGCAGAGGAGGATAGAGCCTTTCCTGGGGGAGGGCCTCGGCTGGGAGGGAGAAGGCCAGGGGTGGCCTCCTAGGGGCGACTGCCACTGTGTGCCAGTCCATAGGCTGGGCCCAGACCTCCTCAGAGCTCTGAGGTGCGGGAGCCGATGGTCCCCAAACTGACAGGAAGGGCGTCTGCTTGGGCAGGCACTGGTGTGTAGGAGGTGCCCTTTCACCCTCTTCGGACGAAGTCCTGCCAGCCTTTGGGTTGCCACTTACTCTTCCGTCTGTGTCCTCTTTCCTGCAGGGGGCGAGAACATCAAAAGCATAAACCAGCAGTCAGGAGCCCACGTGGAGCTTCAGCGGAACCCCCCTCCCAACACCGACCCTGGCCTGCGAATATTCACCATCCGGGGCATCCCTCAGCAGATCGAGGTGGCCAGACATCTCATAGATGAGAAAGTTGGCGTACGTACGAGGTCCTTTCCCTCCCTGGCTTAGTAACAGCTGGGTTTTCTTTCGGATGTCCCAGGTACCTGTCTCCCCAAACCTTGCACTTCCTGTGCCCGGCAGTCCTCAGTCACAGGAGGCAGCCCCTCCTGCTTTGCTGCAGGGAAGATCGGAGACCCAGGGAATAAAATATCAGGGCAAGGCCCAGCAGCAATGATCCCACCAGGCCACCGCAGCTCAGGCCCCAGAGCCATGTCCCTGTAGGCCTAGCCATGCAGCGAGGGCACGCCTTCCCCAGCCCTGCTCCGGGGCCGCTGGCACTGCCCAGCGGCCAGCCCTGCGGCGGCTTTCATTGACTCTGGCTTTAGTTTCAGGCACCTCAAAGCAGATAAAGAAAGGGAGTGTTGATGGAGGACAGATTGGCCACTGCTCGCCTCAGTGGGGACGTGGCATGGCAGCCTTGGGCCAGCCTAAATTGACGGGAGAGTCAAGCAGGTTGGTCCCTACCCCCAGCGGGACATGCCAGGGCAATCGCGGTGATGCCAGTGTGGCGTTATGGTGGTCTCGGTCACTCCAGGGGCAGACCACGTCCACCGTGGGCAGCAAGGCTAGCGCGAGTGCCTCAGGTGTCGTCACTGTGCTTGAGTCCGTCCCAGAAGCTGGGTCTGCCTCGGGCGGCCCCGGGAGAGGGCAGGGGTACAGCCAGCAGGACATGAGAAGGCCCTCTGTCCCACACAGGGTACCAGCCTGGGAGCACCCGGAGCCTTCGGACAGAACCCTTTCAGCCAGCCTCCTGCTGCCCCTCATCAAAAGTGAGTCTTCGGGGGGACCAGCAGTTGTCGTAATGGCTATGTCGCTGGACTCCATGTAGTCGACCGCGGTTCGTGTCCCGGACCCGGTGGCTTAAACTCACCCCGGGCACGTGTGCGTGCGTGCCCA